CTGCCAGATGGCAGAGTGCAGCGGTGCGTGGAGATCCTCATGTCGATCAAAATGAGCAGTATAACCATGTTAGCCCAGCTGCAAGGCAGGGTGGATTTCATTTGGCCCCAGCATCATGCTGACATAGTTACATGGGATTGATTTCTGCTTGTGCTGCTGGTGCTACTTTGCACCATGAAATGTTGCGTTGGGTAGACCGACTGGACGTGTTGGGTTTTTTCCTGCCAGGTGGTTTTCATCCTTATGTAGAGATACTTGCTGTGATCACTTCCACTTCCACGAGAGTGTTTCCTCCTAAATCAGCAAACTCGCAAATCCATCATTTCCATTGCTCGTAACAGAATCTGCAAAAAATTCTTGGTCTTCAGCTTGTGTTTCCCAAAGCTAATGTCTTGATGTTCTTCAAGAATGCAACTCATTTCCATTTTTTTTATTTTTTTTTTTTTAGCATCTGGTATACTTGTAGGGGCTTAGTGCTCCATGCATGCAACATGCTTTCACAAAGTAAGCTTAGTAGCTTGGCTGTCCCACGAGTTTCACAGGAAATTAAAGGTAACACCAGCTCTGCTGACAACAGATCTGTGGACCGTGCTCAGTGCTGGATGCTGACCCTGAGCTGGACAGTGAGCAGAGGTGTCCCCTGCCCCACAAAAGTCTTTTAAGCTTTGGGTTGAGTAGCTTTTGCTTAAGCCTTATTTCATAAAACTTGAATCGCAGGTTTGAGATTTTTTTTTTATCAAGGGGACAGGATTTCTTTTGTCTCATTTGAACTCTAATGATGTGCTCGAGTCTTTTCTAGGAGAGACAAGGAGAATCATGTTTGCCTAAAATGATGCTTTGCATCCCAAGGTTTTTGGGAAGGTTGTTCTACGTTTTTTTTACCTTATATCCCTGCAAGAATTTCAAAGGCATTTATGAAGTTGTTTGTTTATTGCTGAAAGTTTGTGCTTTTTACAGGGTTTAGTCAAAACTTGGGGGTGTTGTGCAGTAGGGTTTGAGTATTGGGGGATCTCTCTGTTTTTAAATACACATGGCCCCGCTGCCTTTCCGGTATTTCTCTGTAGGTTACAGACCACTCCTGACTCAATTGCTGCAAACTTGATTGCATCTCTCCTTTTTTTTTTTTTTTTTTTTTTTTTTTAATTCGGGTGCCACATCTTTCTAGTGACGGTGATGAGGAGAGCACAACTAGAGCCCTCGAGGCCGAAAACCTTGCCAGATGGTGGTGTGTGTTCCACCTCTTCCTTGGAGGTGACGGACTCAGGGCTGCTGAGTTGGCTCAGTAGCAAAGCTGACAGAGCAATGTTCGTGCCTGTGAACACCTTTTCTATTTCTATATTGTGTGATTTTGAAATCTTATATTAATGCAGAGGGCGACAGGTCTTGCCTTGGGGAATTTCATGCCAAATACCTGGACCTGTGCTGAACTGCAGTGAAGTTTAGATGTTGGGAGAGTCCACCATGGTGGTATGCATTAGTGAGCACAACAGTAGATACTTCAAAGTTTGCCTGACTTCCTACAGAAGTGTTCCACATCACCCTTCTTCAAAAGCTTTTAGGGTACTTTGCAGACACAGACTTGGTCCAAAACAGTCCCACCTGCTGTCAGTTGGGAATTTTCAGATTCTTTTTGCCCCTTCTGTTGATTTTTCAAGACCCCTTCCTACAATCCTGTTGCTGAACCTGTGTCACCTTGCGCTTGTCTTGCTCTGGCCTCAGACGCTTGAGAGTTGGTTTCTTTTTTCCCCAATATTAACCAAACTGCTTTGCTTCTTGCTCTCTGGCTACATCCTGCAGCTGCAGATCTGAAAACACTTTACAAAGGAGATAAAAATTATTAGTCCTATTTTGTAGATGCCTGGGGCAACAGCTTGTCCCAGACCACCCAGGATGTCCCGTGTCGGTGGCAGGAGGAGGAATGTCTTGAGACCTGTCAGGATGAGACCTGTCTTCCCAAGCCCTCATCCTAGTCCTCTCCTCCCCATGAACCCTGCTTCCCATTTTTAATAGATTAAAAATTCCCATTCTGACTGCACAAGTCCTTCTTTGACATCTACAGAAATAGGTTGGGTTTTCAGTGTACTGAGGTCATTTTGGGAAGGTGGAAAGAAAGCATAACCAAGGAGAGGAGCCCTTGCTAGAGAATACTGTGCCAGCAGCTCCCTCCTCTGTTCCTAGAGGCTGTAGGTTTTCTTTGCTTGGTCTCCAGTTATCTCAGAGTTACGTGAGGAACCCCATAAGTAAGTCCTACATGGATGTCCACTTTCTGATCTCAGATGGGCAGAACAAACCACCTGGGGACTTTGTACTAGAGGATATGGCCAGTATTTAGGAGCAAATTGCACGGGTATCTTGATCTTCCTTATAATAATTTTGCTCTAAACCGGCTGGAAATGTTAGGACTAGATGGAAGTGTGTGCACCTTGCATGGGACTAGAAAAAAATGCCTAATTTGTGGTAGAGCCTGTCTTAGTCTCACAGCAGGATAGTGAATTCCTGGAGAGGAGCTTTGACCATAGCTGGAGCTATTTATGTCTTTGGATAAGGCATAATTAAGCTGGTTGTGATGTCCTACATGGCATCTTTTCAGGGTGACTTCCCGAAGAGGAAACCTTCCAAACAGGCAGAGCTGGAGCTGCCCCCAGTGCGACCGAGTGGGAAGAACCGCTATTGCAAAATGGACATAATAGGTTTCCTGGGCTAAATCCTGCCTCGTGGACTGCCTGCGCCGGCTGCAGCATCCAGCCGCCTTGGGCACGCGGCTCTGTGGGGAGGGTGTGCCGTAATCCCATCCGGGAGGCGCAGAGGTGCCCGGCTTTCAGGCTCGCAGCCATCCCAACGGCGAGTACTCCTGTTCCTCCGCTCCCTCCCGTCTGCTGGAGCTGACACCCATTTTCCCCGCTCCTGACCCCGGTGGGCAGCTCTCCCTGCCGGGACCACAGGCACTGCAATGCTCACCCCCCGAGACACGCGGACCTCCCCCCCGGGAAGGCTCTGCTAATGCTGTCCATCATGAATAGCTCTAATCCACTCTTTATTCGGCGCCTTGATGAATTTAAGGCTGCACCCTTGCTGGCCTCTCCTCCAGCGGAGAGTATCCCATTAGAGGTGTGACTCCCTGGCTCGGCGTACCACGACCCTCTGGGCCATCGCTCATCAGGATTTCTGGACCAAATTCAATACTGGAAGTTTTCCTGGAGCTTGCGAGAAGAAGCCGACTCTTTGGTGTTGGGTGGCTTGCAAATAGACGGGCTGGCTAACGCTTGCTCTTCCTAATTGCAATTCTTTGCAAAGAAATTATTAGGAAGATATTAACCATATAATGTTTTGGCAGGGTGCTGGATGGCAGTCATCATTTCTGCTGCTACAGTATGTTTAAAAAAAAAATTAAAAAAGGACAATAAAGTAGGCTTTTTTGTTGGAAAAGAAGATTTCATGTTATCTGTGTTTGCAGGCTTTCTGGCTCATATGCTGGAGGAATCCTTGCTGCGGGGGTGTTTTCATTTTCTCGTCTAACATGGCAGTGGTCCATCACAGCAGAGGTTTTTAGCTTAAACAATCTGTTTGTGGGGCTGCTGATGGCTCTCACCGTGCATTTTGAGGAGGCATCCACTGCAAAAGAGAGATCAAAGGTAAAACATCTCAAGCAAAGTGAATAGTTCTTTTTTTTTTTTCCAATTAGTTATCACATATCTGTTTAATTTCCTATTCATGTAGTGTTGATTTAGTTTTGTTTTAAATAAAGGACAAATTTTGGGACTGGGTTCAGCACCTGTGCTGGGTGGTGTTGATCCTTGCCCTACCTGGGTGTTCAAAAGTATCAAGCATTGAAAAACCTGTCCACTTCACTTAAGGGTTGAGTTGGGATCTGCTGGATGGGTTTGAGGTTGGTTTGTTTAATACACACAAGGTGGAAACAGGAAAAGCAAAATCATTTTTATCTGAATGTTTTAGTGCAAAGTTTGGTTTCCTGCATCAAAGTCTCAAACTAGGCTGTGGGTGTTCAATTTTTTGTTTTCAGAACTGGTATTTTTCCTTGGGCTAAATAGATCTATTTTACAGAAAACTTCATCTAGTCAGAAACTCAGGTTTCTACTGAAATGACCAAATTTTCAATCAGTTCTTCTTTTGAAATTAAATGTGCCCCTAAAATAATGGCATTGTTAAATACAGAGACTTGAAATTTCATGCTATATTTTATACTTCATAAACAGATGAAGCAGCTAAATTATATTTTTGCTCGGCAGTCTTGTTCTTTCTACTTCTCTTTGCCTGAACATCTGATCTCTTCCACTCCAACTGACTTGCCTGCTGTGACTCCTGTAAATTGTGTGAATAAAATGATTTTTTGCCAGGCTAGGCTAGAATTTCAGGAGTCCGTGGTGGTAGTTTACTCAGCTTCGTGAGTTTTCAGGTACCATGTTTTATCAGTGGTTATAGAGACCTTCTTTCACCACTGGATTTTTTTTTTTCTTTTCTGATGAGTACTGTCCCAAGACTCCTACAACCTGAACTCCACAAAAATGGAGTTGGGCATTTTCCAACCTGCTTCCACATTTCACATGCCCAATTTTCAATGGCATTTTCAGATGAGATTTTCAGAAGCAGTTAAGGAGCTTGTTTCAATGTTTTTGAGGTGTCTGACATCCCATACCTTGAAGGAGCCAGGCTGCCAACAGCAAGCTCACAGTCCTTTTTATATATCAGATAGTCATGCAGACTTCTTCAGGGGTGTGCTTGAAGTTCATCAACATACTTGAAAAATTACTGAGGTTGTCCAGAGTCCTGCAGGGCAGCTTTGAAGCCCACAAATGTTTTTCTGAAGTTGTGGCAGGTGTTTCCATGGCAAGACAGCATCCAACATTGAATGCTGGGCAGTCAGTTAAAAATAACAGGTGATCCCATCACCACATCAAGGCAAGTGTTTGCATCTCATGAGCCACCTTGACCAGTGACTGAAATACACAGGGGCAATGCTCTGATGATAGGTGGAAGTGCTGTCCTCCTTGGAGATGGCCGTGAAGGTGAGCATGAGTTTTTGGCAATGTCTGTGGGACTCCGGTGGCTTTTTGCCCACCAAGGAGCTGCCCTGGGGCTTGGCTTCAGGTTGTAACATGGACCAAGTGGTCAGTGATGGAGGAGGAGGAGGCAAATTCAGAGGAGAGGCAGTGGCTAGTGGTGTATGTGTCACTGATCCAGGGTTTATCTATGGAGTTGCTCTTGTAGCCTGGTTCTCCCCCCCTGAATGAAGAGGACTCGGCTGTGGTGTGATGGTGTTGGGGTAGAGCAGAGCATATGGCAGCATGGGGTGGAGAGAGGCTTTCCTTAGCACCAGCCAGGGATGGCCACGGTACCAGTAACGAACCCATGAATAATCCTTGATGAGTACCAGAAGTACCCTGCACCATGCTGCATAGTCTGGATACGTTGCCTGTTTTATCAGAAAACTTTTTCAAAGATACTTGAAAATGAGCTTTCAGAGTAATGAGGGATATCACATTTAATTCCCTTGCTTAGGAAGTTTGTGTAGCCCTGGCTTTAGCCCTCTGTGCCTGAAGAAGAGGGAAGAATAGTTCCTGTTATATAAAATGAGATCTCTGCACATAATGGCATTATTTCAGGATATGACTTCAGAAGACTTTGCATCATTCGGAGTTAACTGCTGAGCAGTATCCCTTGTGCAGCAGGGGTTGACAGATTGGACCCTGCCGCATCGTTATGACATGATGGTCACAGAATCACTAGGTTGGAAAGGACCTTCAAGATCACCAAGTCCAACCATTAATCCAGCGCCACCATGTCCCCTAAACCATGTCTTGAAGTGCAAACCATGTCTTGAAGTGCTACAGATGACCTCTGTATGCGTGGAGATGTAGCCGTTCAGCCAGATGCTTCTGAAATACGTTTTCTGTTGAACAAATGAAATATCTCCGTAAATAATTTAAAATAGTCCGTGCTCTCTGTGTTATAACTGAGCGGTGCTCACCAATGTATTTGTCTTTCTTCTGAAAGCATGCTGTGGGCTGCACTGAAGCTCTTTTGGTCTCTGGATGTTTTTGCAAACTGTAAAGAGTAATTGCGAATGTGGTTTTTTTTTCCCTTTCAGATCTCTAAACTTGGTGCCTTTTGCTGCGGGCTCAGTTTGTGCAATCAGCACACGATAGTGCTTTATATCGCTTGTATTGTGCCTTGGGTTCTCTCCCGGCTTTTCAGAAAGACGGTACGTATTTTGCTGACCCATACCTCTATTTTTGTAAGGCACTGAGTAATTCTTCTTTCCAAGCACTTGTGCCACTCTTACGTTGATGTACAAACAGGAGCAGTCAGTGGTCTGTCTAAACTAGTCGGTCATAGCCCACTGAAGTTGCGGTCCAGTCTGACACCAGAGTCACCGATCACAGTTTAGGAGCTTTGCTCACGCCAGCAATCTGCGACCCGCTTGTGTCTCCTGGCACAGGAGCGCTCTGCCCCAGCGCCTTGCAAATACCCTGTGAGCAACCACGAGGCCGATACTTGGGGATAAAAACTGCTCAGCGTGTAGGAAATAAGAGCACGTTGAATGACCTACCAGAGAGGAAAGCAGGTAAATATCTGTTGGTGAGAAGTCACAGGCATGTGCAGTCTATGTGCGCTGCTTCTCCTGGCTGATGGCGCTGGCTTTCTCATGCCATCGACTCATCTGGAGATGAGTTTCTGTATGTTGGTTCCCTGGTGGTAACAAACAAAAGCCGTGTCCGCTCGTTGCAGAGCATCTTGCGACTGCTGTTGATAGTTGAAGGTACGGCTGGAATAAGCAGCACGGCAGGAAGGGTGCAGAGGCTTGTCTCTAGGGTGAAGTCCTCTTCAGCATCTCCTTAGGATGTGTCAGGCTTGGTGGCCTCCAGCTCTGATGCAGCCAGGGCTTGAGAGTCCTGCAAGAGATCAGCTCTCAGGTGAAGAGAGCCTGGCTCATGCCAGCTGGAAAAGAGCAAAGGAAGGCAGACCTTTGGTGAAACAGCAAGCCCCAGATCCAGTCAAATACGTCCCTTTCATCCTCTACCAGGGATGTCATTCTCAAGATGTCCCTCCTTCTACTCCTCTTTATTAAACTTGCTCACTGTGTAAGAAGTTTGTATGCCTGGCTTATGAAGGCGATATGCATCCCTCTAGATGAGGTTCCTGGGTGACGTTCAGGGCCCCTGCAATGCTCTTGTCTTCTGTAGGTAGTCTTCTGTGAGTCAATGCATCAGGCTGGATGGAGCCATGTTGTAGAAACTCTACTTTGCCCTGAAAATGGCTGCACATCTCAATGACACAGATGCTCTGAGCGCTTTGCAAGTGGCCCTGAGAAACCTCCACCTATTCCCCCTGTCTTTCTCTTTTGTTGGGCAGGTTTCAGCTGGGCCAACCTTGCCTGTATTTTTCCACCCTCGATCTGATAAATCTGGGTAATGGCACAGGGTATAACTAAGCTCAGAGTGAAGGCATGAGCTGCAAGAGACAAGACACAACTCCAACAAAGTTGATCCAAAATCTCTTCAGCATCTCCAGCAAACCCCTTTCTGACTATACTTCCTTTAATGCAATGAAGACTCACTTCTGCAATATATTTGTGTTCTTTAAACAGCTTTATTTTTTTCTTTTTTTACGTGGGAAGGTCCAGAGACACCTCTGTGATTTCTGGCAAGGACAATCCTGTGCCAATATAATATTCCTGGAAAATACTTTAGACAGCCCGGTAGTGCCTGCTGCAGAAAAGCACCTAATAAGAAGGATATTTGATGGAAAACAGTGTCTTTTTAAGTAAAAAAAGAGACAGCTTTCTTCTGACGGAACTGTGGCCACCACTGTTACCAAGCTACTTTTTCTGCTCTGTAGATCATCACTCTGAGTGGTGCCTCTTCCCCATAACCCCAACTGCTGAAGAAGTGCTTTGATTGACAGGGCAGTGGCTAACGATAAAGCAAGCGTGCAATATTCTAGGGTGGGATTTTCCAAAGCACTTAAAGGAGTTAGGCACAGAAGTCCCTTTGAAAGTCTTGTCTTCCTGACCCCTTAGGCAGTCTTGAAAATCCCACCCCAAAAGTTGGCCTATCCAATTTAGCCAGTGTAATCACGATGAAGTAGATGGCAAAACTGACTCCTGGTGATGGTGATGATGTGTGTAGTTGTACTAGAGCAGCTTTTTTTTTTTTTTTGCCAGATGGAATACCAGCCAACTCTTAATCGCTGCAAAGTGGGTTATCTCAGCCTTGCAGTGCTTCAGCCATCTATGCATGTCATGCCATGATTTAAATGTGAAAGATGCAATGAGTATGATACTCATGAGTCCTAGCTAATATTATTTGCTTCACTTAAATTTCACCCTGCCATGCAAAGGAGATCAGTTTGATGCAGTTTCCTAGTAATCCACAAAATCATAAGGTTTAACATAGCATTTTGTAGGGACTTACTATAAATTGAGAGATCAGCTCTGTGTAAATATATTTGATGTTTTTTCTTTATCTGTTCTTGAAGTTCCAGTGTGATTAAACTAAAATAAACATTGTTGATGCAATATGACATATTTTGGTGCAGGAATTGTCCCTAGGCCATTTGCTGAAGTTGGGTTTATGCTTCTTGGCTGGTTTGCTGCCTTATCTCTATCTGCCGGCTTCGTCCTACCTCAATCGAGCCCGTTGGACATGGGGAGACCAGACGACTTTTCAAGGATTTTTGACCCACTTTCTCAGGGAAGAATATGGGACATTCAATCTGGTAAATAAGGGTCATTTTCTAAATTACTTTCCTTTAACTTACGCAATAGCAGATTGTCTATTTGTGACAATTAATAGCTTGCAAAGGAAGAAATTGAAAATGTTTTCTATTTTAAAAATTTATTTCTGATTTTGACCTTCTGATCCATCAGGTTTTCTGGGAATGGATCATGTGACTGGGAAAGCAAAGAAATAATTCTCTTTGCCTTTATGGGATGAGCTGTATTATTTAATGGGAGCTGTACAGGTGTCTTGTATTTGTAAGAGCCCAAAGAGCAAACTCTGCTAAAGGGAAATGGTGACATCCATTTTGTGGTTTTCGTCTTTTAAGACAAATAATTGTCTTCTTTTTTTTTAAATTTTAAACTCAGCTATTTAAAGAGGTCACAAGCAGTTTTCGTTGCTGTACCTTTAAAAAAGATTCCTCTTAACTTACTTCTTGCTAATGTTGAATTTGAATGAATGGTATGTTTGGGGGGGTCTCAGAAACCTCTCATCTGGGTTACTGACAGGTCTGTGCTCTTGCCAAGGGAGGGAGGAGTTGCATGGTTGCTTGCAGAGTGTGGGGTTTGCATCTCCCTCCTCCAGCCCTGACATAGATGTTTGGCTCTGGCCACTCAAGGCAAGTGAGTGCCCAGCACACCTTCTGTCCTTCCTGTGTCAGAGATTTCAGTGCAGAAGGCTGGGAAATTGCACCACTGGGGGGAAAAAAGAGAAAAAGGTATGGTTTACATATTGTGTCACTCCTTGGGGTCCTGGACCCACATCCTCAGAAATTAAGCCCCTGCATCCAGCCAACGTGACACAGCGAGCATCGTTGCCGTTCCATTACAGCCTTCTCGGAAAGCTGGGTGGCTGTAGAATGTGAGGCAAAAGACTTGATAAGTCCTGCTGCTGCCACTTACTCTTTCCAAAACTCCTGCAGAGATAAGATTCATCCTCTGAAGGACTTCTGAGATTTCCCCCGGTGTCCTATTCCCAGCTGTCTCCTGAGAATGAGACTCCACTGGGCAGAGCAATACCAAGGCATGCAAATCCCTTAACTCCTTTCTCCATCCAACGCGATGCATTCAAGTTGATGTTCAGGAGGCTTATGGATGGACTGCGTGTAATCCTACACCACAAATCAAATTTACGACGAACTTGTCTGAATCAGGAGCAATAAATGCAGCAAAATGCAAGTGTTTGGTCCTGATGCCAGCTGGGCTAATGCCAGAGCCCTGCCTGGGTGGACAGACAACCCTTGTGTCCCATGGCTCTGTTTTAAGGATAAGGCAGGGCCAAAAAAAAAAAAAAAAAAAAAAAAAGGAGAAAAGACTCAGGAGAGGGTTCCACCTATGAGCCAAGGTCAGAAATGTGATCTCCTGCAAGGGATGTGTCTGGGGACAGAAGCCATCAGCTGCCAGCAAGGTGTAGCTTTGCAAGAAACAGAGGGGTAGCAGTGGTGCTTCAGGAGCTGTGGGCTAGCTCTCCATCCTCTAACACTTTTATTTTTTTAATTAAATCCTGAATGCAATTAACTCTTCCATTTTTATTGAGATTAAATATTCCTTCCAGACCTCCTGGATCCATTTACCTTTTGTCTGGTAGCCACCACTTTTCCAACAAGCACCTATGAAGGTAATTCCTCACCTCCACCAAGCATGTCTATGCTAGTATATCTCATAGAAATCTCGTACAGCTCTGCCTCTGTCAGGGCAGAGGGGACACGGCGAGTCTGGTAAGCGAGGAGGAATTGAGGCCCATGTGCTTGTCTCAGGCTGTGGGGAGATGTCCCAGAAAATAATTTGCACTGCGCAGATACAGGATGAGAGGAAACGGCCTCAAGTTACGCCAGGGGAGGTTTAGGTTGGATATTAGGAAAATTTCTTCACCAAAAGGGTTGTCCAGCATTGGAACAGGCTGCCCAGGGAAGTGGTTGAGTCACCATCGCTGGAGGTATTTATAGATGTGGCGCTTAGGACATGTTTCAGTGCTGGCGTTGGCAGCGTTAGCTTTGCAGTTGGACTCGATGACCTTAAGGGTGTTTTCCAACCTAAGCGATTCTGCGATATAGCAGAGATCATAGCTAAACCGTATGCTATGCTCAAGTCATGGGATGATGGGTTGGTAGCACTTTGAAAAAATGCTTATCCAGGTGGTAAACCCTGCACAGTGGCATAATGTAAAACAAGAATGTGGGAGAAAATCTTGCAATGAAGGTTTGAGGAAAGTTTGCTGTCTTTTTGTTGTTTAAGCCATTCCTGTTCCCTGTGACCACCTTGGGGTATCACCTGAAGGGGTCTTGAGGAGCCCTGGGTGCTCAGGTCTCTGCAAACAGAAAACAAAAAGGCTTTTCCTTGCCTCACTGATACGGCAATTGGCATGTGGGTTTCTCATGGGTATTCTTTCTTTTTAATCTAGGCCAAGTCTGAGACAGGATCCTGTATGAGAGAGATGCTGGTGTGAGTAAAATCATGAATGTACTTTTTAGTGGAGAGAAACTTGCTGCTGCTGCTGTCATTTTGGCCAAAGTGGCTCCTGTCCTGCCTTTCCTCGGCTTGGTCCAGAGCTGGGGCTGTGTGTATCCAGCGCAGGGACAGCGTGCATGTCCGTCTGTCTTCCCCATTGAAAGAAAAATGCTGGATCCCCCTCCCCAGTGGTTTTTCATTCAAGAGCCTGACATGTACACCGAGCTTATTCCCTTTTCTGGTAGGCTTAATCACAGCAGAATGGGAATATGTTATGTTGTACTTATTCCCTGCTTCTCTTGACACTTTAATTGAGTGCGGGGGACGATTTGGGGATGGCACATCCATGCACTAATTTCTCCACAGTTTTCAGCTGGTGCAGATGAAGTCGGAGCTCTCCCTTCCCGTCCTGGCCCTGGCGCTGGTGGCCTGTGTGAGCGCAGCACTGCCGTAAGTCGGAGGAGAATATTTGCTCCATCATGCGCTTTCTTACTGGCTGCATGGGCAGCTTGCTTTGCCTTCTGCTTGCTGGTGAGAAGATTTCAGCAGTTGGCTGTGGTCATCTCTTAATTAAGAGCAAAATATCCCTGCTCCTTGTAACACTGTGGCTTTGTAGAAGGCAAGTGTAAATATCTTGAAATCCTCGTGGTTTTGTACTTTGAAAACAGAAGTTTCATAAATTGCAAAGGTAAAGAAAGACTCATCAGCTCAGTAAATGCATTTAGGTGTGCAGAGAGATAGTTGTTTTCAAGCACATAGAACTTTTGTCTCCTTTTCATCATGCCACTGGAGTGCTACTTTTTTTTTTTTTTTAATAGGACAAAGCAGAAATCACCCGTGATCTGGCTCTTTGCTGGAATGCTGTGTCTTTATTCCCTTTTCTTCGCTTGGAGAGCAAATTTGGATATTACAAAACCTCTGTTTCTGGGCGTGGTAAGTTGCGCTCCAGAAATTACTTTGGCGTGTTAATTTTTGGAAGGAGCCTTAAAACCACCTAATCAAGAGCAGGTGGTTGTCTTGAAGCTGCCTAAGGTGCAAAAATACAGCTACTTATTCTGTTTCCTTATAGCCGGGGAAACAGAAACGGGGTTTCTGGGGTTTTGTTTCCTAGGTGGAGCGATTCTGGCTGCAGAGCAGTGCCGTGGTGGCTGTGCTGGCGGGGCTGGGGCTGGCCGCGCTCGCCGCGGTCGGA